TGAAGTATTCAAAAATCTGCAAAAATTATTTACGTATTCTTCTCATAATTTGCATTTATAACCTTAAAATATGCATTTATTTAGAAGCTTTAAATCATAACTTTAAAAACATGTACTTATATCGGAAACTTCATTCCCAAAATTCTTTATATATACAAATTTTGGTAGTTTATTGCATCATAATTTTTCCTTTTTTTGATTTCTGTTGGTCTATACTTCTCCTTTTTAATTAATAGCATGATAATTAAGGTAATACTGTAGCTCAGTAATGCAGCCAAGACGGTACAGTGGTTAGTGACGCTGACTGCTGTATTAATACGAATCGTGACTGCCCAATTATGAAAATTTATGTTTTCTTGCTTTCAGTTCTTTATTTTTTTAATTCTTAGATATCTATTTATTTCGTCCATCTGAACTTCACTACCTAATAGTGACAAGACTGAAGAAAATTAAATGTACTGAAGATTTAAATTAATACACATTTCTTGCTCAATTAATTTAATTTATAGACAAATACTAGGATAGCATCTGATGGCTGAACAGTTAGAAGACTTCTGAAAATTCAAGTTACAATTCCGAAATTGCTTATAATGAAGTGTCCGCTAAAAAAGATGTCAACTGCCTTATTTTCTTATACTCTAGATGCAATATGTATACAATAAAATTTCTTAGAAAAGGCATCTATTTTTCTGAAAACAATTTTAGTGGGTAGGATAGATTACGTAAATTATAAACTATTAATTTTTGTATACTGCCCTTCGAACAAAAGGTCCAACGAATGAAATATTCATTATACTTTAATCAGTTAAATATAAAGTTTATTTTCCTTAATTGCAAAATTTGCGAAGTTATAATATTATCACTTAATCGATCGTGAGATAAGTAAAAGATCCATATAAAATCAATTATACCCCAAGAATAGAACATCAACTTGGTCAACGCCCAGATTATTTTCTCAGAACGGAGCAAACCTTTTCCCTGTTTTCATAACGGATTGTTCATCAGGGATTAAATGGGACACCGAAGAAAGAATCAAAAGTTCTCTGTTGCATGCTTTCTTTTTTCTTCATTAAGAATCTGATAAGAAAAAACTAACATTTCAAATTTCTCCTAAAAAGTTAATTTTTCACGGCTTTCTCAGGTTTGCTACATTTTTGAGGCACAGCAAAGGTATTTTTTAAGGTTATCAAATTTCATTTAGTTTAGTTTACTACCATCTGCCTTCCTCGCCTCCTTAACAACATCAAGATATTTGAACAAGATTTCTCATTGTTTAGCTGAAACCTTTTTCATGCTACATAAAATTATAATTTAATTGCAAAATGATGCTATCTGCAGATAGATTAATTAAAATTCCATTGATTATAATTACTTACGGTTAAAACGTCTACAGCTAGGCAGGTATTAGTGCACAGAATATGCAAATAATGCAAACGTGAATAGAATTTTTAAAAAGAAAAATATTTTTCATCGAATTCATACTTTGATTAAATATAAAATTTTAAGTTTGAAAGATGTCAGGTGATAGATCGGGGGGGGGGGAGAAAACCGCGGCTCTCATGTGGCCCAGCCTTTTTGTGCGATCCGTTTAAGTCCACTTCATAGTATAGAGTCCATAGTTCATAGTATAGAGTCCACTTCATAGTGTTAGGTTTCGCGAGTTTTGAGTAGAGACACTGGCGGGTGTTTAAAATCAAATCTTATCAATTGATAAGCCTTAAAATCATTTTATTCTTCATCACATGCGCTTTAACTGATAACACCGTGACTAATCACAAATTAGAATCTAAATCTTTTCAATTCTCACAAATATTTTATGCAGACGCCCGCAAGAATTGGATTTGAAACACCCGCCATAAAAGTTGGCAGTGATTGCATATCATATACGGGACTAATCGCGAGACGCCAGCGAGAAGAGACTACTTTGTCACAAGAATTGTATGTAAGCGCTCTTCGTTTTTCTATCCGTACGTATCAAAGTCAAACTAAGCTGTTTCTCTTTGCTTATTCTAGCCGAACATTGAAACAGATGCGCACAATGTTACGTGTGCTCGATACTGACAGTCGCTCACAATTATCCAAAAGTTATATTTCGCGACAGGTTTTCCAGTTTAATTTAAAAAAATTTACAAATATTTGACTTGTCAGAGCGTCACTATACTAAAAAAGTTAGTCAGAACTTTTAAATTAAAAGATTAATTGCATCAACCGAAAACTAATTTTCTTATGATTTTTCGTAAAACAGTTAAAAAAATGTCCTCGAAACAAACAAAAGCACAAAAAGTTGAGGACGAAAGTAGAAGTTTTAATAAAAAATAGAAATTGGAATATTTTCCCCCTTTTGCAAGATACAAAGCTTTTTGCCTTTTGTGCTCTGATGAAGTATCCGTGCTAAAAGAATGTAATATTAAAGGGCATTAGACACGAAATATGACACACATTGTAAAAATCATCCAATGTAAAATGCGGAAGAAATGGAGAAAAGCATTTTACAGTAACAAAATTTATTTACAGCTCAAAATTTTTAATTAAATTTTGCAGTGAAATCTAGTTACACTGCTAATCAAATTTTAGCCATAAAAATGAAATCATTTCTTGATGGAGAGATGATTAAGGAATGGTTAACTGCAGTCGTAGAAATAGCTTTTTCTTATGACAAAGACATTACTTCCAAAATTAGTTTGTCAAGATAAAGAATTCAAGGACTGAAGACCTGTGAGAAAACATTACTACAGCTTTAGGTGAACGCATTGAAAAATTTGAATGGTGTTCCTTCGCACTTGATGAAAACTGTGACATTAGTGATACATCAAAACTAGCGATATTTGCAAGAGTTATAGATTCCGGATTTAATATAACCGAAGAATTGGGTTTATTAATGCTAATGACAGGAATTGCAATAAGTAAAGACTTGTGCAACGAACTAAATCGATGTTGGAGATTTTATTAATTTCATTGGAAAAGATTGTCTGCATATCAACCGATGGAGCACTTGCAATGGCAAGCATGAATGTAGGAGTCGTGGGAATATTATTTAATAATATACAAAACTTGACTGGAAGAGAAATACTATTTGTTAATCACTGCATAAGTTATCAACGGACTCTTTACATATGCTTAATGTCATCATGCCCGTAGTAAAACTTACTAATTTTAACAAATTGTGAGCATTAAATGACTGCGAACTTAAAGAATTTTCAAAATGTTTGGTAAGTGAATATAGTGATATAATTTATAACATAGAAGTACTCTGGTTGAATAGAGGTGATATGCTAAAAAGAGTATATAACTTAATAAAATGAAATCCTGTCACGTATGGCTTGAATAATAACTTTAAGGAAAAAATAACTTTGTATATAATATGTTTCATATAATTAAAGTATTTGAAAGCAAACTTAAAATTTGGAATTAACGTCTGTTGTCAAACAACACGTGACATTTTCCATACTTGAGAGAAAAAGCTCGTTCAGAAATACGAAAATATGCCCAGAAAATACGAAAATTACTAAGCGAACTTGAATCTATAATTAAAATATTCAGCTCGAAGAAAACCGTTCTTAGTTCTAATATTTTTTATTGTCATTTAATATAGACGTGGAAACAGCTAACAGTTCTGGATGAGTTAAAAATCGAGTTGATAGATTTACAAAGCAATAGTTTAAGTATTTCATTGAAGAAATAAATTTGAGAATGTGAACATCCAAAACTTTTATCAAAACTGCACGATTTTCGAAACCAATCCACTATTTGTTACACATGCTGAGCAAATAATGACACTTTTGGGGAGTAATTATGTTTGCGAGTAATTATATTCTGCAATAAAAATAATTAAAAGCATCAGCCGAGTAAAAATAACCTTTAACATAAATAGATGAAAGAAGAAGATCATACAGCAAAATATAGGCTATAAACTGTGATTTAAATGAGTGAGTGGATTCAAAACACACGGTTTGTCTGCTAAAAGACTGCAATAATGTATTAAATATTAAGCTAAGACATTTTAGTTCACTAAAATGTGAACATTTTATGATGAGTTAAAGTTTTATCAATATAAACAAATTTAATATCTAATTTTAAATAGTAATAGATACCAAGGTATACTTAAAGTTCATAATATATTAATAATAATATGTTTTAATTTAAGAATTTAAGAATAACCTCTTAAATGAAAAACTTTCTTAACAGCTCAGTAGTAGTAAGCAATATACGTATATGTAACGTTTTTAATAAAAATGTTAATTAAAGCCAGATTTCATTTGATGAAGGAATTTTTCTATTAATTGACTTTTAGCTATAAAAATATAGAAATGCCTAGGGCTTCTCTTTAATTTGAACGACAATTAATATCTTTCATGTAGACTCTGTCATTCTGAGACACTCAAGCTCCCTCAGAAGATACAAAATGGCTTAGCAATATAAAACCAGAAGAAGGCCATAGTATGTGATATACTGTTATTGCTGTTTAGCGTGACCTTACTAATATTCAGAATTGTTCCAGTATCTTCTAGAACTTACGAACAAAACTATCTTGATAAGAATCTAGTGTGTGACTATTTACTTCGAACTTACTGGTAAGTGCATCTTCCTTGATCTGTTTTAGCTTTGGGAAGTAAAAAATTTTAATATTTAGCTAGCAATTCTTTCAAACTTTTAACATTTTTTAAAATCTGTTGATGGTTCATTGCTTACTGCTTTATTTGAAACGTTTCTAAGAAGGCCTCAGACGTTTCAGTTATTCAGGTTACAAACAAGATCAGCTCTATTTGTATTTATTTTAAAATTTTAAGTTAAGTTTGCAAATTATGTTAAAATTCAAACCCCACTCCAAAGAGGAAAAACGTTAGGTAGTTGTAAGACGAGGAAAATAGTTACGTTAGAATCCATCAATGCTTTAAGTGAAGTTTTATATTAACAGAAATGTAAAATGTAGCTTAAAAAGAAATAATTTTATTTTATTCAATTTCAGAATTATAGAAAGAAAGTATCGAATAATTACAAACCTTTTATTACTTTAGGTGGTAAAAGTTTATCGTAACCTGGAGGAACAATGTCGCTGACTGTCAATGGCTTTGCAAATGAAAAGCTATAATTTAACGAAACGAAAATTAAGTTTCAAACACATAATGCACAAATTTATTTTTGCACTTTATAAATTAGACAGCATAATTAATACAAGGCTTAAATTAATAATTTGTGTAGTCGTAAAAATCTGGAGTGTTTTAGTAATGATGTACAAGTAATTTGGAAGTAATATAAGAGGAAAAAGTGTGGGAATAGTTGAACAGCAACATGATCATCATCCTCATCAAGATCATCATCATGATCACCATGATCATCATCATTATCATCATCATCATCATCATCATCATCATGATCATCATAATGATCATCATCATCATCACTGTAAGTGTCTCTCTATAACTTGCAAAAAATTAAACAGATATATATTATGATGCTGCTGCTGCTGATGATCATGATGATAATAATAATAATAATGATGATGATGACGATGATCATGATCATGATGAGGATGCTGATGATGATCATGATGATGATGATGATGAGGATGATGATGAGGATGATCATTGATCATGATGATGATCACTATAATGATGATGATGATCATGATGATGATGATGATGATCTTGATGATCATGATTATGTTCATGATGATGATGATCATGGTGATGATCATTATGATGATCATGTTGATGATGATGATCATGATGATGAGGATGATAATGATGATAATCATGATGATGATGATGATTATGTTCATGATGATGATGATCATGAGGATGTTGCTGCTGATGAATGATGAATGATGGAATAGTGATTTGTGACCACGAATATCTAGTTCTCTTATAGATAATCCGAAGCCAGTGCATGAAAAAAAACGAAGACAATTTATAGACAATAACGACTCAATTTATAGGGACACCAAGAGAATTTTTTTGCCTTCGTACATAGCTTTTTTGGCCTTAATACAATATTATAATTTTCTCTCCCTCTGAAATTCCCTTATGTAACTTAATTGTATTGCTCAAAGTGACACAACGGCTTCTACTCACTCAGATATCACTTTTATGATCTGGATTCCTATTTAAGAATGTATGCAATCTATACAGCGTACTTCTATACTGCATGAAGTTGAAATAACAAATGAGCATATAAATTTAGAGAGAGAGAGAGATTGGGCAACTGATATCCAGAGCTCTTTTATCCTGATTGAATTTGCAAGAATGATGCGCTGTTAGTGGGAAAGTTATATTTTATTTGTAGATACGCGAGAAGGCGCGCTAATCTAGCAGTCAGGTTCTTTGCCTTTAATATTTGATTTTTAAATAATTGAAATACTATTGTCATCTCAGGCCCCCAAGCAGAGGAACTGCAGTTTTTATTAATCTTTTAGTTGTGCAATTTCTAGATGTACTACTAACAAATGTTTTAGTTGCTTTTATACAATTATTGTTACAACTTTGCTTTGTTTTTGTATACAGCTAAGTTAGAAACTAGACAAGAAGACTTCTGGAATTCTGAAGTCCAGTAAATTACGCTGTGTTTAGATTAAGTAAAATTATAGTTTGTTCTTTTAACTACAAATACTCGAGTCTCATCACTAGCCGAGTGGTTAAAGTCTCCGCCCAGGCGAACGAGTTGGCTGCATGATTGGTTTTGATGGATTTCTCCAAGTTTAACGTGGATACGAGCCAAGTTTCTATCATATTCAAATAAACTAATCTACAAATATTTAAACACCAGTGTATTTATTAATTCACTGGCAAAACCTAAGATTTACCAACAGTGAGGGGTAAAATAATTAATTTTCTTAAATTATATTTGAATTTTGAACTTCTTCCAAGAGATGATCATTGCGAGGATTTACCGATCAGGTCCGGTAAAAGCAACCATAATTGTTACGTCAGTACAACACTTTTAACATTCCTAGAGTACATTGCCATAGTCAAAATATCCACAATAGTTTTACCAACGTAAATTAAAGAAAAAAATACATTAGAGTTCTGATTATCCGACCTTCAATTTTAAAGTCTATTCCTGTATCATGTCTTTCTTATGCCAATGACTAAACAGATAAAAAATTATTGAAGCAAATATCTGTGAGAATAAATTTTGTATTTTTACTGTATTTTTTGGCACTTTATTTTCTTTTTTATTTCTTACGAGTATATCTTATTCAAATTAATCTTGTGAAATAAAAAATGAAACGTTTAAATAAGTGTTATATTCAACGCAGAACTGGAAATTATATCGAGAAGCACAAGAAAAAATTAAATTTTTGGTTACACTATTTTTGCATCTTTTCATGTAAGTAGTCACTGAGCTTCTCGACATTATCTCTAATGGTTTGTTCCGGGTTGCATAGGAGATGGATTTAAATGTTTTATTTTTATTTTGCAATGTTTCAACCAGTTGCTGCAACTATCAGCACGTAACTGGATTAGGTTTTTGAACCGCTATTTACTTTGTGTTTATTCATTATACAACTTGACGTCTAACCTTATTAATTTTGAGTAACGAATAGATACTTCGTATTTAATCGTTATATAACTTGAAGTTTATCCTTAATTTATTATTTTTTATGTTCCACATAGATGTGAATTCCGGTATTTTAAGTTACAACTAGTTCACAAAATGAAATTATCATTTTTATCTGTATTTTCATTCATAACCAGCATTTGAAACTTATTTAAGAAGTCATTTTTTAAATATAATTTTTCAATGGAATATTTCAACTTTTTTGTTAACCATTAGAAAATGCAACTGTGAAAACTAACTAATGTGAAAAATTATGTTTCCTTGATTGTAATCTTTATTGCAAACTTAAAAAATTTTTCTTTAAAAATTATCAAATTACATATCGCTATTTAGATCATTGCTTATTTTAAAATTAAAACACAAAGGGCTAAAATAAAGCACTTTACGGACGCACAAATGTTTCATTTTGAGAGGGGAATGGTAATTTCAAAATTTAAAAGAAAAGCTATTAATAACATATATTTGTTTCAAAATATTGACACTAAATCTTTACTTATTCAAAAATAAAACTTAAATTAATTTACTTCCGCGATTACAAAAGTAAAATATTTACCGATATACACACATATATATATATATCAGATGTGACTCAAATTCCTTAAAAAATTCAAATAAATAATTTTAATGCTACTGATTTTAATGCTACTATTTACCATGCAATCCAAAGAACTTCGAAGGCGACTAGGAAGATCTGCATCATCCTTGCCTAGCGAACAATCGGTTAACAGAGTGAGATTTAAATATCAAGTATTAAATCCGCTGGTGCTAAAGCGCCAACAAACTACCATCAAATCTATCTTTAAACCCACTCAGCGTCTCGGAAAGTGCAAGGTGACTTACTCGAAAATCCGATTCAGTTGCTGATGAATGGTTTCCAAAATGTTAAACAGTTTTTTGACGGAGTATTTGGAAAGAGTAGAAGAGTTTGTTTTTGTCTCCCACTCTTACAAGCGGCAACTTTTCCTGTGCCAATATAAGCTAATGAGCGTCACAGAAAGACAAATCACTTTATGTTCATGGATCTTTTTTTGTTTTTTCTCTTAATTGAGAAGAAACTTCTGCCAAGAGAAAGACAAATTTGTTGTCTTGTAAGATTAATCGGATAGGATGTCAAAATATTTCCTAGGTGCTCTAACGAAATTGGAGAACAAGAATAGAAAAGAAATTATAACCCACTTTCAATTTTACAGCAGAAATTGTAATATTTTGAAATTCTTATTAATCGTTAGGGTATATTTACATACAAAAAAAAAAAAAAATTATCTGAAAAGTACTTTACCTCCCCTGATATATATATATTTATACATGCATTCTTTGCTGCAAATATTATTTATTATTCATCAGTAAAATACTGTTAGTAAAGCGTGTATAGAATCTCGTTTTCTTGGGTAGCATAAACTATAAGACCTAAAATACTGTATAAGGAATTATCATCAAGTCTTTGTTACGACGAAAAGTCAGAAGAAGTACATAAAGAACCATTTATTCACTCAATATAATTTCATAGATGGCCCCACTTGGGCATACACAAACGCCAACACTTCTGGCTTAACTCAAACAGGTAACGCTGAGCTAAAAGTTAAATGTAGTAAGTTTAGCCTAACGACTCACATGATAATTTGAAGCGCAGGAAGACTCTGACTTGTAGTACTCGGCGTAAACAAGTTTAATGGCTAGAAGCGCTCAATGCCACAGAACTCTAATCACTAGTTGTTCAAGATATCAACGTGGCCTTCAAGCAGCATAACACGCTCTAAAATCACCTTCCAAAACCTTCCCTCAAATACTTCCTCTTTCTACCTCATTTGAATACACGCGCTAGCTTATTAACATTCTGGCAAGAAAGCGTGGGTGGAAATGAGAATCAAAGGAAAGTTGCTTAAAAATAAAATTTAACTGTTATCTAAATTAAATGAACCTCCATAAGTGTAAACAGCTCACAAGTCCACAGCTGTAAACTATAGAGGTTTAAATAACATAAAAAATTGAAAACTTTCATTTAAATCTTATAAAATAGTTAATGAACTAAAAGGCAAAAGGTAATTGAATTGATAAAACCACGACGGCTACCTGCTTACTAGAAGGGATGCCTTCTTAGAAGACTTTGAGAGGAAAACTGGCTTATCGTCACGTTACTCATGGGAAAATCCACGAAAACCAACTATGCAGCCAGCCCACTCACCTGGGATTGAACCCAAACCAAAACGAAATACCAGCATTAATGAACTAAAAGAAGAAAAATAATTTAATTCACAGTTTAATGGGATCAAAAGGTTAAATAATTATATTTACAAAATTTATATTCTATTTTATACCACAAATAATAAAAGTGTGGAGCGCCATTAATGTAAAGATAATGGCTTACACTTTTGATAGTGTAATTCAATTATTATATTTCTTTATTCAGGCGTGCGCGCTTTTATTATTCATGATAAAAGTTTGTAGATAGATTTTGCAAAGAGAATTATTTAATCTCTTGCTTCCATTAAACTACATAATAATTATTTTCTTCTTATTCTTGTAATAATAAAAATTATTTTTCTTCTTTTAGTTCATTATTTATTTTATGAGTGATAAATAAAAGTTTATTTCATCAAATCGTGTTCCATTGCACTACCTAGGTCAAGATTATCTCTTCTTACTTTCGAATTGAGAATTCAGTTCTACAAAATTAAGCATTTACGTCCTTTGCTTAAAATACCCTGTTTTTAATTAAAATCAAGTGAAAAAAGTAGCGCGATTCTTAATTATGTAAAAAACTAGTAATATTTTTATCACAGGCAAAAAATTAGTAATATCTTATCCTATTTGCAACTACAGTGAATTTCTTTAATTAACGCATTCCTTTGGTAATTTCTCCATGAAGGCATTCCTCTCTTTAAGCAATACCCTTATGAGCTTTGACATATCCAATTAACTTAACCTAATCTATTTATATTATCTCTATATCTACCTTCAGATGAATTCTAATTATGAGATAATGAATATTACACACAGCAACAGCTTAAGGCTACTTATTACAAAGGGTGCTAGGGACCCTAAACTGATAGGCTGACAACAAATTATTTGACACCCCTCTGCCAAGGAATACGAATATGAATGCCAAAGAATACGAATCCCATTTCAAATTCTTTGCCTCTATTTCTGCTATCGGACAGATCAGCAGCTTGGATTTCTTCTTGCAATTAACGAAACGAAGGATCCAGGAATCCGAATGTATGGTTGTTACAAAGAAGTTTTTATTTCCCAGTTTGACGATGTTTCTAAACATGCCTTTTCCACTCAACTACAAAATAATGATTGTTTGTTTTCGTTTCCTCTTTCCAGTGCCATTACTTCCATTTCTTTTTTTCCTTTCTTTCTTTCTTTCCTCTGCGCCATTTTGTTTCCTACAACCATTTTGTGAGTTCCAGGGCTATTGCGACATGTTACACTTAGCATCTGGTGTTCCTTTTACATGGTTGATAACCTATGAAAGTTTCTTGACGATTTTCATCAGAATGTCCAACAGTTTTTACTTGTATGATTTGTTAATGCTGTCATATTAGTCTGTGCAGCAAAGTGTCATTTAATTAATCTGAGTTGGAGAAACATTAACAAGTACGAGTACAGTTTGCTAAATTAGAAAGAATCAAATCTGTTTTTTAAATGCATATTATAGATGTTTTTGAACACTGAAAATGTAATGTCTCGTTCAGTCCCAGATAATACTTTTTAGAATTATCATGCAAGTATTATCAAATTCAACACTTCTTAGACTTGATTGGATGATGTCTAACACTTCCGCTTTCACGACTATTAAATGCTAAAAGCCCTAAAAATAAAGGAAGCTTTTTGTTTTGTTGTTTTAGCTTTGCAGATATTGATTTGAAAATTATGAGCAAAAAGTCTGAAGGGAAAAATTCCAACAACAATCACTGAAATAAATTTGAGAAATTTATGCTTTCAAAATACAGATCCTAATAATGCTTTTCATGTCCAGTGTGAAGGAAAATGCATCTTATCATATCCTCTAAACTACCGAATCAATAACAGCGTGTGCATCACAGTAAAAATAACATGCCAAATAACAATTATAGGATAGTTCAAATAACAGGAATAAACGGTAATTGTTATGGGTTTGCAGTACGAGTTTCGAAAGTTTGCGTACAAAACCTTCTTTACCTGCAGAAGTGAAAATGAGGAAAAATCGGTGTTCACGTGATACCAATGAAAAAATGGACTAGAAAATTCGAGAAAGTTCCATCAACAAGCGAAAACACAGGCTAATGTCACCACCTATTGATGAAAAATAAAACAGCTATGAAATAATTTCTTTAAAAGTAAATTAGAACTGGAATTTGGATCATTAACTAGAACTGGAAGATTTTAATGAATGTGAAACGCCCGTAGAAAATTTAGTTCACCAACGGAAGACGTTTTTTGAATAATTTTAGCTGCAAAAAAATTAGGATTTTTTTAACTAACAATGTCGAGCAACACGGAATTTATTTATTTATTATTATTTTTATTTATTTAGCTTTTCCTGACATATGCTTCACGTTCCTTAGTGCAAAGTTTTAAGGCTATTTTAAGGCAAATTTTACTTACTTAAAATTACTAATTAATTTAATTAGTTAATTTTACATACTTAAAAGTACTTAGATTCCTTAGTAGAAAGTTTTAAGACTCTATTAAACCACATTGCAAAGCAATACTTTATATACCCTAAGAGTTCACATCTGGAATGAGGTCTTCAACTATGGAACTGCGAATTTTATTGATAGGAGGAAAACGAAACAAAAGATAAACTTCTGTAAAATGCTTGCAGTTTTATAGCTAATAGATGAAAAGAAAGGAGTGACTACAAAATACTCATAATCCCTTAAAACGGGAGTAGGTTTAATTATGTCAAGATGAGAATTTTTTAACTGCTTGGTTAATAACATAAGGTGAAAAGTTTCTGCGAAAATTTAATTCTTGATCAAGAGCCGATGGAGGAGGGGGGCAGCAAACTAAGAATTCTCGAAAAAAGAAGGAATCAAAAGAAGTTAACTTCTCTTTAATCGGATTTGAGAAGCTCTGAAGTGTGGTGGAAGGTAAACAGATGAAGGTTTACGGTATAGATTATTACTGAAATGAGAGAAAATGATACAGAATTTTGGACACAAATTCGTAAATTCGTAAGTTGAAGCTTGTATATCTCTAAGTCAATTTTCGACGTATTTACCTTATGATGGACCTGAGCAAGGACTATTTGCAATGCAGGAAAATTTTTCACATAGTTGAGGGATTAGCCTTGGGAATTCCTCTCAGCCCTATTCTTTCTGAGATACATATATGCATTTATTATGAACCAAATTATTTGAAATATTAAACTCCCCTGTGTGGTTCCGCTACACACTGGCGATACTTTGTGTAAAATTCAATGAAATAGCAGTTAATACATACCTTGAGGCTGCTTTAACTCTTTTGTTAAACGCGTTCTCAAATAGTAAATTTCTTCGTGTAAAAATTCAAACGTTCATCAGAAACCACAGCAGTGGTATAATTATTGAAACATTTAAAACACATTAAGTTTACAGACACATTTTTTACGGCTTTGACAGATACGCAAAATACTGTAAAATTCGATCATGCTACATTTCGAAATCAAAACTCACAACTTAAAAAAAAAAAAAAAAAAAAAAAAAAAAAAAAAAAAAAAAAAAAAGTTATATAAACATTATTAAGTTCAGGGAAGGAAACTTTCGCTATATCCTCCCTCGTTTTGTCATTCAGATATTTTTTATAACTGAAGTTCAACGATACTC